TACTCATTTGCCTAACTGTTTGTACACAATATAGTTTATAGTATATCTCTGGAAATTTTTGTATAATTTTTAATATAAACTTAATTAACGACACAATTAATTATATATTTGCTTATCATATCATCACAGAATATTTTGTATGCACAATAACAATAGACTATTTTTATTAAATATATTTGCATTAAACAAGCTTTTACTTACAACTACAATGTCTTTTATGATATACAATTCCTATTWGTATTTTAACTAAAATAGTAGTACTTATTAGTCATTTTGAAAAATTGTTTAAATTTTTCATTTCAAATATTTTTCATATTTAGAAACTAAAAGATATGTCATTAAAAAGAGAGACATTTAAGTGCAGTTGTCTTTAGACTGTTAAAAGCTTTTACTTATTTATTGCAAATAAATGTTTAATGTTTTAGAAGTGGATTCTCGAGGAATGGTATGGCTTTGGTATACACAATAACAAACACAGCCTTAGATTCACACAACAGTGTCAGTACTAATACAATTTTTCTCGTTTCTATGTGTATGTGTATGTGTATGTGTATGTGTATGTGTATGTGTATGTGTATGTGTATGTGTATGTGTATGTGTATGTGTATGTGTATGTGTATGTGTATGTGTATGTGTATGTGTATGTGTATGTGTATGTGTATGTGTATGTGTATGTGTATGTGTATGTGTATGTGTATGTGTATGTGTATGTGTATGTGTATGTGTATGTGTATGTGTATGTGTATGTGTATGTGTATGTGTATGTGTATGTGTATGTGTATGTGTGTGTGTGTGTGTGTGTGTGTGTGTGTGTGTGTGTGTGTGTGTGTGTGTGTGTGTGTGTGTGTGTGTGTGTGTGTGTGTGTGTGTGTGTGTTGATGACTGTCTCGAGAGCTGCGACAACAACAACAKTCCTCTTAATGTATTAGACAATAAATCTCGAGATTTTGATCAATAAGTTTGACTCCCAATGCCTTCTAATATCTCTTATAAATAAACTGTACATTAAATGAATCGTCGGTTAACTGAAGTGAAGAAATATTATTCAAGAATTGAATTTCAGTTACAAATATATATATATTTATATTATGTTATAAAAGATTTTTCTTTTATTTCTCGATATCTTTTGTTTTTATGTCTACTCTTTTCAATTAAAAGCATGAATACAATACTTAAGCTATGGATCTAAGCCATCACTCTTTGATTACTTACATGTCTTTACTATTGTTGTMGCTTTTGAAAAGAAAATCCACTCTCAATAGAGAGAGAGAGAGAGAGAGAGAGAGAGAGAGAGAGAGAGAGAGAGAGAGAGAGAGAGAGAGAGAAAGAGAGAGAGAAAGAGAGAGAGAGAGAAAGAAGAGAGAGAGAAAGAGAGAGAGAGAGAGAGAGAGTTTGTAATTGTTAAATTTCATTTGACTTTTAGATAATAATTGTGACAAAAAATAAGACAAAATACTATTTCGTTCACATAAAGCATCTATAAAATAGGTGTCATTAAAAACGGACGCACAATTAAGTTATACTATATATTGTATATATAGACTATTGTAAATTATACTACAATAGATATGGACTAAGAGAAGTCGCTATTCATACGGACGTCTTTTGTGAATTAAGCCTAACCTACAACTACTTTCTCTATCTGTCTATTAATTAAAAGTTAACTCACTTTCATTGAATTCATTGCAAAATCATCTATTAATATAACTTCAATTGAGATTTATGTTTTTGCTAATACTAATACAGTCTTTCACCTATTTATTTCAAAGTATTTCAAAACTATTTCATAAGTAAACATATTTATTTCACTCTGAACACAGCTATTTCAAAAGTAAACGTATTTATTTCATTACTCAAAACTATGCTTTATTATAATACATTTAATACTTATTAAACATCTTAAAACTCACAAATAGTTTATTAAAAATTTCAGACTATTAAAATTTTGCACTTTTAAATAAATAAGATGTTTATTTTAAAAGTTTAATCTGAAATACATTTGTAAACAATAGACAAAAGTTTGTTAAGTATGTAAGGTATTGCACTAAAGCAAGAGTATTGAAATAAATAAGTTTACTTTTGAAATAGCTGTGTTCAGAGTGAAATAGATACGTTCACTATTGAAATATATTTGTTCGCTCAGAAATAAATACGTTTACTATTGAAATATATTTGTTCAGAGTGAAATAAATATGTTTACTTATGAAATAGTTTTGAACTACATTGAAATAGAATGGTGAAACCCTGTAATGTAAACATTATAATGTTATATAAAAATGTTTAAATTAAAATTGGCTTTTAATTTTAGTTATACTATTACTCAAAATGTGAAAGTTTTATTTTTATCATATTAGTAAAAAACAAATTTAAATTATTTTTAAAAAATTAATATAGTTTACTAATACATTAATAACATACACGTAATAATTTGCTAAAATAAAAATTTTATAATAACTATTTAAATTAAAATGTATTTATGAGTTATCTGTTTTAGTTGATATTTTCTAAATTATTATACTGTATATTATATTTAATTTTTTAAAATTTCAATAATATTAAAAAATACTGTATAACATAACAGTATGATAAGATTTACATTTATATTAAAGTACTAATAAATTAGTTTTATAATAATTTTTATCTATAAAAATTTGAATTGTTTAGAAATAGAGGATTACTGTATAATACTTAATTAAGTTTAAAAATACACAGCTTATAAATATTGAAACATATATTTTGTTTTTTTTAATTATTTGATTTATCAAAATATTCACGCCATGAATGACACAAATTGTAAGTAAATTATAGAAAGAAACAGAAAAGAGACACAAAATGTGATTTAGTTTTTCGTTTGCAAATAATTTCTTTCTATTTTCTAATCAAATAAATATATAATAGAAATGAATGATAGAGAAGATGCAAGAAATAAGTGACTGAAAGGGAAACCTTTTTCAATACATAGAGAAAGAGAGAGAGAGAGAGAGAGAGAGAGAGAGAGAGAGAGAGAGAGAGATAATATAAAAGACAAGACTTAGTATAAGTCCGTACATCTCATGGCTTTAAATAGAGAAGCTATGATTGTGTGAACCATTGAATGTAGTATTATTTGGTAAGTATTTGTTGGACAAGACTTGAGACTAATAGGTAGTCATAAAAGAGATTCTCATATTCTTGTTGTTGACCTTACCATCCATTCAGATGGAAATACAAAACATCCCTATAGTCTAGTTTATAACAAATAGTATGTGTATTAACTCTCCCCCTAATAAATGTGTATTTACTCTATTATCCAAATGTTGTTGCAGTTATATTACTGCTTAAAAGTAAAATTATTTTATTGTACACTCTATATAAACCCGAAAAACATTATATAACAACTCATCTCATGGGAGTATAATATACAAGACATAGTACACAACACGACTCAATAATATATATAAATTATGTAACATTACTGGGGAGTACACTAACGATATTACATATATATATATATATATATATATATATTGTTTAATAACGGACTAAAAATGTTAGAATAGAAATAAATTTAGTACAAAAAAACAAAAGGAAAAGACCATTACTTAAAATAAGTGACAAAATTGTTGATAAATCCGGTCAATTCATATATTTTTTGGTCAATATATGTTTGCTATATAACCGACAAAAATAGTTTCTGTGTGTAGTTGTGTTTGAAGTACAAGATTTTGCAAAAATTTTTATTATACCAGTATTATATCATATAATAGATACAGTAGAAACTATAAGTATAGATCGCTTAGTTATTATTTTTATTTTATAACATATTATTTACTTTTTTATAGTAGACGTGCGTTTGCTTTACTGTATGTATTGTATATTTATGCTGAATACGTATGAATTGGCACAAACTAATGGTATTGTGTATGCATTTCACGCCTATAGACATATCATAACAATATATTGTACTAGAAATGTATTATTATATCAGTATTGAATACTACTAYAGTATATACACAATAAAGTGATATGAATGTAAAAGTCTAAACATTRTACACAATATATACAGTATATATATATATATATTGATATATATGTATAAATTTATATCAAACAACAGAAATGAGAGAAAGCAGAGAGAGAGAGAGAGAGAGAGAGAGAGAGAGAGAGAGAGAGAGAGAGAGAGAGAGAGAGAGAGAGAGCAATGACTGTCTGTCCAGTAACAGTTGGACGTAGTATCGAAAGCACTGGTAGTGCAACCAAAATCCCAGTGCAGTCATCGATCACCGGACTATATATCCAGGGATTTAAACAATCATCAAAAGCATTACAAAAATGACATCATATATGTGTCGTTATCGATATGACTGTGTCGGCACTCAATGATTATAGTATATAATGTGTATGTTATATATKCTTTATATAGACTTTGTGTATATTATATCTATAATTTTGAGATCGTATTTATTGCAATCAAAAACTTTTATACATTGCAACTAAATCTCACATTCCATTCAATGATATGTCATATAATAAGAATCCAATGGTTTTGACCATCCATTCAAACTTAAAGGCTATCTTTTGCTGCCAAAAGGATTATCGGTGTTAGCCATAGAGCTATATATATATATATATACTGTATATTTGCAATTCACAAATAAATCCCAGACACTGAATACCAGTGGTATTAGACGATKCACTGGTATATCACTATTAATCATAATCTATGACACAACACACGAGATAATGGGATCACAAACGATAAAGTGATGATGAATACTACATTATGACCAATACTGGTATCACTTTTTTGTGATAAACTTCAGGCATAAATAATACCTCGAGAGATACAAAAAATGTAAAGTCAAGCTATCATAACATGAAACTATTGTTTTTATTCAAATATTTATTATCGCATTTTGTGTAATAAAAAAATATATTATAGATAATATTTAAAAAGATTTATAGATAAATATAATTGGAATACTAATGAAAATTTGTATAAATAAAAAAAACTAAATTTT